GTAATCGTCAGGTTGGGGAAGGGGAGTAGGAAAAGGGTGAGGGTGAGGGTAATTAAGCAGCTGGGTTTTCCCTCGTCTCCTGAATGCGGGCGCCTGCGCTTGTAGGACGCTGGTCGCCATGCGCAGATGAGACAGGGGGGATGTTCTCACGGTTAGAAGGTTGAGTTCTGTATGTCGGCCGCGCAGCTTGCGCTTGACTATTCCCCGTGGCTTCATTTCCTGTGGCTTCAAGAGGTGTTGGATTTCCGCGTGCAGTCGGCCAAGGGAGGCAGATGGCTTGTACCAGCGCCTTTTGACAGCATAGAGTGGGTTTTGCTAACCGGATTGCCACTGCTTCTGCTGTGGCTAACACCCGTTTGCGCAGGCCTTTGGAGTAGTGTGTTGGCGCGCGGTATATGACCCGAAAGGCTTCTCTCGCGTCCACTTGGTGGTTTGTATCAATTAGGTGGGCGAGGATTGAGCTTGAGATTGGTCTATTCTCCCCTCTGCTGAGCCAGGCTGGTATGTGCTCGCGTATTCTCTTCTCCAGACGTGTGTGTGGATAATTCAATCTGTTCTCTTCGCCAACGCCAGAGGCCGAATACCGAAGGTACAAGAACCACTTTCATGCCCTGACCGACTGGAGCAAGCCTGCTTTTGATTTGTCCTCCTCGTCGACTTCTCCAATTGGCTAAGGGTAACAAATCGATGGCAGTAACACTGATGTCATAAGGCTTACGACGAAGGACGTGCCCAAACCACTTCAGTCGTCTTTCTTGGATGGCCTAAGATATCTTAACGATGTTGTTGTGAGGCCTGTAGACTTCCATTTGAGACGAAGTCGGTGTACTTCACTCGCAGGATGGTCCTAAAGCAATAGTAGACAAGTACCTCCAGTTTTCCTTAATCTTCCGTGCGCATAGCTCAGCATTCTCAGCCGTAGAGAAGGACAGAACAAACGGATGCACGGTACAAGCGAACCTTCGTGGCTATAGAAAAATCGCGGCGGGTCCATAGGCACCTTCTTAGTCTGCAGAAAACTAGACGAGCTGCATCTATTTGGGAGACCATGTCATCCTTACTTTGTCTATTCGGCAACAACTTTGCTCCGAGGTACTTGAAACTGTCTGCTTATTCAAGTTCACAGTCATTTATCTCGAGAAATATCATTTCTTGGGCATTTGGGATGTAGCGTGTAAACACTATCGTTTTCCCAGTGTTTATGGCCGAGTGATTTAGCGCCTTCATTCACCCCTTGACTGATGCTCACACAGTCCTGGAAGGATGCGAAGCCGTAAACTGGCGGCGGCATCACTTTGTGTGTCGGAGCTGTTGGTATTGCCCGTCCCACCCGTGTGTGTATGTGTGCGCGTATGCAGGCATTACTACTGCGTGCGTGTCCGTCAATCGATACAGATCATACTGATCAGTATCAGTATATTTTAGAGAGATGTAGACAGGTTGCATTTGAGTTCCCTTTTGTTACATGTGTATTGTGCTATCAGAAAAATTGTATCTCAGTTTGTTAGCGAGACAAATTGTCATGAGCCATGTGGTGGAATATAGTTTCAAAAAAGGGCAAACATTGAAATAACTCCTTGGGATTTTTTAGGAAAAAAAAAACGTCCGCTCTTGGG